TTCTTAAAACATCAATTAAGAAATTTTTTAAATAAAAAAATTAATTATATATGACACATGTACAATATTAAATATTAATTTTTTAAGTACAGAAAATGATTTACTATATCTGATAATATATGAGAGAGATTTCTTTTCCAAACCCTTTCCTATCAAGATCATTGGATGCCTTTGTCACAAGTCATAACTTTATTTTTCATCAAGAATGGATCAGGTCATCAATTAACGGCTGGCCTTTTAGAGAAGAAATGGAGGATTCATTGACCCCTTGCCTTCTAAAGAAGAAGTGGAGGAAATAAAACTCATCCTCTATTTTCTCGAAGTATTCTTTCTTCAAGTAGTTCCAAGTTTCAGCTCGTTCATTGGAGAACATGCATACTCGAGCTTGTTCATTCTCAACCTCGTGAAGGACACCAGGGAGGTGAGATTTCCAGGCCGGTGGAAGAGGTAGCCTTACGACGTATAACGTCGTGTGGCTTAGGGCAAACTTCTCATCTTGTACAGCAAGCACGACCTCGACCTTACTGGTAAAACGCATGGAAAATAAAATTCATTGTCACAGATCTTTCAGGTCGGGTGTCTTATCGAAGGAAGAATTCTCAGTGATTTTTTCAACACACCTCAAAATCATCGAAGGAGGAATAGTGTTGGAATGGTGATCTACCTTTTTATTTTTTTTTTTAACAGCAATAATTTTATTGAGAAAAATGAGTACAAGGGGTACTCAACCCATAACAATCACCACCTCCTACTTAACATACCAAATCAAAGCAATGACCCCCTAATAACGTATCCTTTCACTCACTACATCAGGTTTTGAAACATGCTGCTGGATCAATTAACCAATCAGATAAAGTAACAGTAGCCCAATCTTTTTTTTGCTTTAATCCACCAGAAAGATCTCATTTGGATAAGTTCTAAGAGAGTAACGGGATTTACCTCTTTGTTGTGGAAGATTTTCTAGTTTCTAGCAATCCAAATGGACCAAACAACTGTTTTCCAGATGCTATCCAAGCCTTCTCTGATTTTTGTTCCTTTGGTATACCTCCCAATGAATTGAAAAGTGTTCCAGCAGTCTCTGTGCACCGTCATCCTTGATCCCCACCACTTCGAGCAAGCCTTCCATACCCACCTTGCAATTTTGCAATTTAAGAACAGATGAGTAGTATCCTCTTCTTCTTCATTACAAAGGGCACACTTAGTATCATTTGTGTCCTTAATGATCCCTCTTCTTAGCAAATTGGCTTTAGTTGGAATTTTGTCCAAAACTAGCTACCAATTGAAAGCTGAGATTTTGCTTGGAAGGATGGGATTCCATATTCTTTTGTATGTCTTCTCTTCATTCGATTCCGCCCGCTCCCTTGTTAGAATAGAATACGCAGATTTGGTTGAATATTGACCTCCCTTGTCATGAATCCATTCCCATCTGTCTATGTCGCCTTCTGCTATCTTCACATTTTCTATCCTCTTTTGTAGTTCCACGGCATCATCGGCTTCCCACTCATACAAGTTCCTTCTCCAATTTAGGTTCCATTTCCATGAACCATTGCTAGCATTGCCCATTTGGTAGCATTTATTCTCTTTCTCTGTTGACAATAAATACAATCTTGGAAAACTATTAGCAAGGCACCCTTCCCCACACCATTGGTCCCACCAGAACCTAACACTTTTCCCTTCCCCCATTTTTATTCTATAACTCTTTGACAGCCACCCTCCACTCTCTCCATGCAAAGAATCAAGTCGGCACACATCTCTCCACCAAATAGATCCTGCTCCTGTATACTCTTTAACCCAGTTTAACCAATGGTTCCCTCCAACACCATATCTTTTCATAATTACTTTCTTCCATAAACCCTCCTTATTTTCTGCCAACCTACCCCACCATTTTCCCATCAAAGCCCAATTAAACTTCTGCAGATCCTTTACTCCCAGCCCTCCTTCCTCTTTTTTTTTTTACATATCTTCTCCCACTTGACCCAATTAACCTTCCTCTCCTCTCCTCCCCCACCCCATAAAAAACTTTTACGAATTTTATCAATGGAAAGAAGAATACCTTTCGGGATTAAGTAGACAGACATCAGAAACACAGGAAGACTGGACAACACTGAGTTGATGAGCGTGATGCGACCCCCGAGAAAGAGATGCCTACCCTTCCAGCTAGCAAGTTTCTTCTTAAAAGATTGAACCATTGGATACCACATTGCCAATTTTTTGTGATTCCCACCAATTGGAATTCCTAGATATTTAAATGGAAATTCCCCTTGTGTGCAACACAGTCTATAGGCCATTCTTGCTGTCCAGCTTTCCTCAACCCCCATCCCCATTATCTGACTTTTCGCAAAATTAATCTTTAACCTTGAAGCCAACTCAAAAGTCCTCATAATCCCTTTGACCACCTTTATGTTTTCATCAGAGGCCTCCCCAAAGAAGATAGTATCATCAGCAAACTGTAAATGTGTGATCGTTGTATCTCCATTTCCCACCGTTACACCCTTGTAAAGTTTCTTCTCTACTGCAGCAGAAACTAAACCATTCAATCCTTCTGCCACAATCAAAAATAAAAAGGGGGATAGCGGGTCTCCTTGACGGATGCCTTTGCTCACCGGGAACTCTTTAGTTGGGCTTCCATTAATGAGAACCGAGACTGAGCTCGATCTTAGACATTCTTGAATCCACATCCTCCATTTTTCCGAGAATCCCATTCTCATCATCATAAATTCTATAAAGCTCCAGCACACTCTATCATATGCTTTCTCGAAGTCGACTTTAAAAAGAAAGCTTTTCTTCCTCTTCCTCTTAGCCTCATCAATGACTTCATTTGCAATCACCACTCCATCAACTAATTGTCTACCTTCAATAAATGCCATCTGTTGTTCCCCAATGACCTTTGGCAGCACCCTTCGCAACCTGTTTGCTAGCAACTTAGCGATGATTTTATACATGATCCCGATGAGCGAAATGGGTCTATAATCCTCAATTCCTTGTGGATTTTCCTTCTTCGGAATTAGAACAATGAAGGATGCGTTGGATCCCCTTGCAATTCTGCCATATTCCCAAAATTCCTGCACAAAGTCGATCACCTCCACCTTAATATCTTCCCTCATCTTCTTCACAAATCTGAAATTGAAACCATCCGGGCTTGGGGCTTTGGAAGAGCAACAGTCCCAAATTGCTTCTTTAATTTCCTTTTCATCAAACCCAGCCACTAGCAACTCATTATCTACTTGTGAAATCTAATTAACTCTAATCCCAGTCAGCTTTGGTCTTTGCCATGCCTCTTCTGAAAATAAATCTTTAAAATACATAGCCACTTCTTCCTTTATTTCCTTCACACCCGTGTACTGTTCCCCATTGATCCGAATACAATTAATTTCATTTCTTCTCCATCTTCCCTTGACACAACTATGAAACAATCTTGTATTCGCATCACCTTCCTTGTACCACATCCTCCTTGCCTTCTGCTGCCACATCCTCTCCTTAATTTTTAAATTTTTCCATAGTACCATAAAACTGTGATCTACCTTTTTATGAACTTAAGATTGAAGGTTGGGTCTTTTTAGGAAAGTCATTTCGGGGGGAAAGCCAATTACATGTGGACAAGTGGATCAGTGAAAAGTTTTTACATGATATTAGTGTCGTAAATAAAATTAAAAATATTTTACAACTATCAATATTTAAGATAATTTATTTATTTTATATTATCTTTCTTATTCTTTAGTTAAAAGCATATTTACTTAAAATTCACATATTATTATTGATTTGGGCTTTGGAGTATCTTCTTGAAAAAATATTCTTAAACTTTGCAAGTCATAAGAAAAAAAAGAAAAAGAAAAGAAAAACACTAATTGCCACAATCTCGGACTGGAGTCTATCCCTCAACATAAAAACAGGAAAAAACGATTAATTAAAATGCTTTGCAAATTTATTATTATTATTATTGATTTTGGGTTTGTAATTTGATTATGATTGGTCTCTAAAATAATTTATCATGCAGGGAGAAAGAAAAAACAAAAAAAAAAATATTCTCACTTAACCGAGCTTCTTCTTTTTCCCATGTATCTATATCCATCTATCCTTTTACATGAAAACCCAAATGGAAAAACAAATTAGAAAGGATTGATCATGGTAGGAAAAAAAATGGCACATCTTCTTCTTCATCCCATTTTTCCTAGGAGGTTTTTATAATGAAATAGGGGAGAAAAACAAATTTGAGCTGCATTCTTCAAAATAATAAAACCCAAAGTTAACGTTATATAGAGAGTAATTGGCCTTCTACTTATTGAATATTTTTGTTAAAGATTTCTCTAAATTGTAAGAACATAAGTTAAGAATGTAATTATTGTATTTTTTTTATCATTGACTAACATTGAAAATATAAAGGTTGATATTAATTCTACCACCAATACTGCATGAATCATTTTAATTGAGCAATCTATTAAATAAATATCAATTTTTATTTTTTTTTAATACTAATTAATGATAAAAAGTATAATAATTACCTCTTAACATGTGCCCTTAAAAAATCTTTTAATTGGGTTTGTATTTTTTATATTAACTTTGAAGGGTTTTGGGTATTTACTATAAATTACTTCAATATTTATATATAATAAGATTATTAAAGAATGTCAAAAATTACTTCGTCTTGATATTAAAAATATCATGATGTCTATTTATAACCACAAGATGGATATAATATAATCTAACTCTCACATAAAATTTATCCATTATGCTATTGAAATTGAACATTTTGACATTTTTAATGTTAGGTCCTACTTTTCATTTTTATATTACTTATTTTGCCATTGTTTTTTGATTTTGAGTTTGTCTCAAATTAATTATCATTTTTTTATTTTTTACCATAGATAAATACTTTCTCTATTTCAAAATAATAGTCATTTTTTTATTTTGAGCTTGTTTGTCCTAAAATTAATTGTCATTTTTTATTTTTTTAAATAGACATATTTTTTCTTACTTTAATCCTATTATTGTCCATTTATTTTAATTAATTATTTTATCAGAAAAACCATATCTTTATCTTTAGCTTTTTCTTAGGAGTAATATATGTAAACATATAAATTGTCTCCAAATCCTTAATTTTGGAAAAAGTCAAAAAATACAGTTATTTTAGGATAAAGAAAATATAATTTTTATTTTTGAAGCAAATAAATATACTTTTTTATAATTTAAACCTAACATTATTTATTTATTTTGATTAATTATTTTATCACAAAATGTCTCTTTTTATCTTTTAATTGTTTTTTAAAAATAATTTAAATAAATATATAAATTATTTTAAATTTTTAATTTAAAAAATAAAAAAAATAACCATTATTTTAAAATTGAGATGGTATTATTATTATTATCACTTGCAAAACTAGGAATACTTAGAAAAAAAAGGCACAGCAAATTAAGCTGTCATTCATGTTAATTAAAAAATTCAATGATAAAGTAAAAGGCTGTGATCTTTACCAATTAAAGACTTATATGGACAAACAGTATAAAAAAAAGACTTCTATGGACAAAAATGGTCAGTTATTAGATTTGTAAAGATCTTAAAGGGATCACAAAGCTATCAATCATGTCATTTAAAATTCAATGATGCGAGGAGCAGTGGAACACGTGTCTGCTTTTGTGTGGCAATTAATAAAGAATAGGATCCGAACAGAGGCCAACTTGCAGGGGAGGGGCCACTAAAAGATGCAAATAACAATTCTTCCGGGTTTTGTGGTTTCCACCCCGAGAATCCAGATTATTTTTTCTCTAAACTGCAATATGGCTACGCAATTATGAGGTCTGTGCTTAAGGATGGTAATTTTATCCACGACCCGTGGAGTTTCACGGACATCCCTGCTATGGGGATGGAGATTCTCAGAATATTTTTATTTATGGGATAGGGATGAAGGTAATTTTTTACTCGTGAAATTTCGCGGG